AGGGTGTCAGTGAGACCATTGGTCCTTCCTTTGCCTCCTTCATTTCCGGCATACAGGTCATTTGCGTGCGGTGGTTGGTTTCCCCCCTGCCGTCTATGCGATGCGTCTCATCCTGATGGCCAAGCATCACGCCAAGCAGATGACTGCCGCAGACAAGGCACTCGTAGCACGGACGCTTTACAAGGTACACACACACACAGCCTGGCAGGAAGCGCGAACGAACCAGCAGACCACACACGACAAAGTGCGATGTGGATGTGCGTATGGCCGCCCGCAGTTGTTGCGTGATTTGGCGCCGATCGAGCAGCACCCTGACGAGAAACTGTTTGAGAGTGTGCGTGTGGTGCTGCTGGCCCTCATCGGCCGCGCCACCACGTCAGACACGGCCACTGAGACGTACCGCTCCGTTCCTCTGACGTGCTGCTACCTCCACACACGCATCAAGCAACCCATCTACGTGGCTGACGAAATACACGAGACACAGATGACCGGTGCGTGAGCTGGGAGGCGGGCAATAAGGCACAATCGAGTCGTGTGAAGCGTTTCCCTCCCTCCCTGTCCATTCGATTGTGCAGTTCGCGAGCGGCTGTTGAAGATGGCGAGCCACGGCGTGCGAGAGGGCAACAGCCCCCTGTTCGGCACCTCATCGTCCGCCAGCTCGTCATCGTCCATCTCCGTGCCCTCCAACCACATGGCCATCCTGCTGCACAGCTATCCCACACACTGCCTCGATGCACTCTGCTGGGTCCCTCCAGACACCGAGGCCGACGAGGACGACCTACTCGACGCGGCCGAGACGGGCGGGTCGATGCGCTTCCCCTGGCACATGCTGGTGGCCGACGCGCGGCACATGCGTGCGTGTCGGTTGCTGCAGCTGGTCAGGCCTGAGCGGCTTGCTGCAGGGGTGCTCCCGCTACTCACAATCGACGCTCAACTCAACACAGCCGTCTACCGCGGTAGGTAAACGAGAAGGCAGACACATGAGAGGATCCACTGCATCTCCCTTGTGTGTGTGGTGTTCGCAGGTCAGGAGCCGTGTGGCAGCGACAGTGTGATGTATCTGCCGCTCACGGGAAGTGAGCAGGTGTTCGATGCCCAGCGGTTGGCGTCTCAGGTGTCGTCCTTCATGGAGAGCCAAGAGACGGCGGGCGAGATGGAGGAGCAGGACGTCAACGAGGCAATCGTGGTCTGCCTTGACACCTCGCAGAGCATGGGCACCAAGACCGCATTCCGTGTCGACAGCTACGACCAGGTAGGTGCCTACCTACCTATCCGCATACGGGAGAGAGAACCGGCTTCCCACGTGTGTGCGAGTGCCTGTTGTGTTTGTCACCCAGGCGTTTTGGCGGGCCAAGGAGGAGATTCGGAATGGTTGGGACCACCGCGACCCCGAGGACGACTCGCCGGTAAGCGGAGAAGTGCAGGCAATGAAGGGATACCCAGTGGGGGTAGTCGTTGTGGGTGTTATTGAATGAATGGCTCCCGGCGTGTGGGTTGGATTGGCTGATTAGAGTGCGTTGCAAGCTGCGTTGGACAACTTCCGCGACTACCCATGCATCAAACAGATGCGGGCGTGCGTCCTGCCTCTGGTGAGTGAGTCCTCAAGGCACGACAGGCCGAAGCACCACACACATTAGCGGTGCCTTGCTCTCTCTGATGGTTGTCTGTCTGTGTGATGCAGCGTGACCGTCACGGCATCAGTCGCGAGCAGGCGGGACAGCTCATCATCTACGAACTGTGCAAACTGGTACGCCCCACAGCACACAGGCACACACGCCTGCCTGCCTGCCTGTCCCTGATGTGTTTATTCCGATGTGTGCACAGAACCGTCTGGACGGTGACTGCGACGAGGAGACGACCAAGCTGTACACCAAGTACAGCGAGCGGTTCGTCGAGGTGCTGCTCGAGAGGGTCCCCACTGACCCCGGCCAGCCCCCAGTTCTGGTCGACCGCAACAACCCCCCAGACGAGTACCTCTGCCCCATCACACACGAGGTCATGGAGCATCCTATCAAGGCCAGCGATGGGATCACCTACGACAGAGAGGCTATACAAAGGTCGGGAGAAACTGTCATTAACCGTAACACTCGTCTGTGTGTCCGTGATACTCATACAAATACAGTCCCATCAGCACGCAGAGTCAAACAGGCTCAAGGGGAGGAGGGATCAATCCCCGCCCCATCAGCACACACCAGTCCCGCAAACCCTCCCCTCCCTCCCCCACGCAGACAGAAGCTAGTCGCACGCGCGAGGGCGATAGACAAGCGAGAGCGAATCCATCCAGACACATGACTGAACCCCCGACTCTTCCACCCCTCCTTCTCCAACAGCGCATGAGCCATGTGGGCGATGAACACGTTGGCATCGTGTCCCCACACACCATCACACGTCACCACCACAGGGCAGAAGGTCACGCGGGAGTCGCAGACGGCCGAGCGGTATCTCTTCTTCTTGGCGGTCTCGTGCTGCTTCAGGATGGACTTGGTCGATCGGTTTTTGGAAGCGTACCGCCCTCCCCCTCCTCTCCCTCCTTCAACACCACCTCCCGACGCACATCAGCGTCCCCCCACACCATCCCAATCAGCTCGGCAAAAGTGTCCCGCAACTCGTTGTGGCGACGAATCACCAGGCCGTACCGCTTGCAGCACAGCGCATGGTCGACGGTGAGGGGCTGGTTGCAGTGGTCGCAGCGTGCAGCGAGGCCAGGGGGGTGACGGCCGTAACGCATGTTGAGGGCATCTCGAAACTCCGCAGCATCAAGACCAGTGTTGTTGTCTGTCGACGGGAGGATGGTCAGCCAGCCGGACGTCTTGTATTCGGTGCTGCGGGAGAGGACGCGATGGCGCCGGCGGTCGATGTGCGGCGGGGCTGCCTCCCTCTTGGTCTTGTGGGCGACGTCCTGCTGCTGCTTGCTCTGGGTGAGGGCGTGGCGGATGGTGGCACGATGGTCGCCAGGGTGGAACGGAGCCTTGCCTTGGACGGACTTGAAGACCACCTTGGTGCTCGCGCGGGAAGCAGGGTAGGCGGCTGCGGTACGGTCGAGAGGGTCACGTATGCCGGTGCCGCCATGCCGGACAAGCAGCAGCATCAGGTCGACCTCGGACGGCGTCACAGGGCCGCCGAGGAGGGCCGGCAGCAGCTCCTTGGCGATGGCCTCGCGGAGGGGGCTGAGAGCGCACTCGTCGGTGAGTACGATACGAAAGACGTAGTCCCATTCCATCTGCAGAGACCTCGTCATTGCCGCGTGGGCCGTGTGTGGGAAGTTGCGGGCAGCAGACGTAAGCGCGCGCACGCCGCGCACCCACCTCTCGACCTTCTCGCAGAGGAACGCCGCCCTCACCCCCTCATCGCCCACGTAGCCGCCCAGGAACCTCTTGCCCGTGACGATCTGCACCCCCTCAGGCTCGAAGAGTTCCCTTGCGATCCGCTTGAGCTCGGGTTTGACGACGAGGAAGGACTTGGCGGCCTCCGGGTGATAGCCGTATGAAAGGCCGATGCGACGCAGGGCTCGAAACCACACGAGGATGCCGTGAAGTTTGCCGAGCGCCGACGAGTCATCCGCATACCAGCACTGCCGCAGCGAAGCGCTAGATGAAGAGGCCGATGGGGCTGACGAGGCC